TTTGTGGTTGTGTGTTTGTGGTTTTGTGTTTGTGGTTATGCGTTTGCGATTGTGTCTTTGTAGTTGTGCTTGTAGTTGTGTGTTTGCGATTGTGTTTGTGATTGTGGGTTTGCGATTGTGTTTGTGGTTGTGTGTTTGTGGTTGCGCGTTTGTGGTCGTGTGTTTGTGATTGTGTGTGGGTGGATTTTATCTGGCAAACTATCTGGTTGAGGTCCAGCGGTGCACACTGCGATCGGATCCTTGCGGTTGGTCCAGGCGTGCACACTGCAATCGGACCCTTGCGGTTGAGGTCCAGGGATGCACACTGCGATCGGATCCTTGCGGTTGAGGTCCAGGGGTGCACACTGCGAGGGGTTCCTTGCGGTTGAGGTCCAGGGGTGCACGCTGCGATCCGGAGCTGGCCAGACAAGATCGGCGAAGCAGATTGGCGAGGAAGGAAGCAAGGAGGAAGGAGGAAGGAGGAGGACGAGGAGGCGGCGGAGGCGGAGGCGGAGGAAGAACAACTGTGATAAAATCTAACAACCCTCACCTGGCAGGCGGGGAAAAATACAGAACTTGCAAGCAGTGTGGGATCCTCGGGATTAAAAGTCTTAAGCGGGGCTTCCAAGAACATCTAAGCTGGGTCAATTTGGCGTGACACCTGGTTTTTTCCCAGTATAAATCCGACCTTGTCTAGAAACCCTATACGATGAGCAAACAGGCCCTTTTAAAAGGAGTGAGAACCCCTTGGTCGTCCTGTTAGCTCAGTGCGATCAACGGCGGCACGCGGCACCACTACAAAGAGCTCCCCTGTATGAATTGCTTGGAGCCTGTTTTCCCAAAAGTTCCAAAGCTAAAGATTTAATGACTGTTTTTTCTTAGCTACCGCCACATTAGCAAACACACCCAGCAAGACAAACAAGAGGCACACTTTGGGTGAAATAAAAATGATGGGAGCCAACCCTAGAAGCAGATTTAGATTATTTAGGCTGCCTTTGATTTTAGCTTCATGTCTCCACCCTTAGTTACCACCACATTAGCAAACACACCCAGCAAGACAAGGCAATTAGCCTACTTAGACCGCAAAGTCACGCCTGTTTTCCTTGAGCCCAAAATAGTAGATAGTGAGACATGTATATGGTACACAAGCGTGAAACCACACCCCCCGCTGAGCGCAAATACGGAGGAGTGAAGTATATACAATATGCATGAATTCAACCGGCTACGAAGGGCAACCGGTCCCCCGGCACGAGCAAACGAGCGGGGCGCACCTAAAAGATAAAGCCGATGAAGCACGACCTCAGAGGCGATGGAGTCAGGCACAATGTACTTAAGTTTCACTTGTGACCCATGGCATGACAAATGTCTCAGTTCACATGCAAAAGCTAGAGCTCCATTTTAGGCGCTATGCGAAAAGCCAAGTGTATGTTCGCCTTTGAGAAAGCAGAAGTAGAACCTCTACGTGGCTCACGCTCCCGCGTGGCGAACAAACATGGCCAAGCAGTTGATGAAAAGGAACTTTATCCGATATCATCATTAATTCGTGCATCCTCTGTCTCTGGTCAGCTGAAGTGCGGGACGAACGGTCACTATATGGCAACCGCTCCCACGGTGCGATGAGGTATCTCCACAGAGAATCGGAGCTTTGCTGCCTTTGGTATTTTGTTATGTTTTTCGGCTTTGTCCAAGGCAACGGCTCCCGCCGTGCGAAGACATCTCACCAGTTTCGATGCTGATACCAGTCATGGCCTCCCCAACCGCCGCGGCTCCAATCAGAACATATTGATGAGCACTGTCTTGAGATTGCCTATGTGCAAAGCTCTTGGCTGCTGAGGATCCTGCCTTCGTTTGTGGGATGATCATGGCCCTTTGCTCTTTTCCGATGGTCAGAGCATTGCCCGGAATGCGCTCAAAGTCCTCTGCCATGAAAGCAAGTAGGTCATCGAGGATATCCTGGGGATCTTCGTGATCGGACTTCCATTCACCGCCAAAGCCACAGATGGGTGGACGCTTGAAGCTGTCAGCATACAAAGTAGCAAAGACTTCCGGGCGGTGGAAACGATTTCGCCAATACACGAAGAACTCCTGGGAAAGGTCGGACTCACCAACGATGTTGGTGTCTGCAATGTACACAATCTTTCCGGTGTACCTGTGTCCTTTCACCCTTCATAATCATTTCGCGTGTTCTGGGTGGATCAGGTACAACAGCATTGGCAAGCTTGTCAATGAAGCCCAAACACAGCGGCGTAAGATCTTGCGCTGCGCAGTTGAATGCGTAGAATGGGTCAATAAGCTGCCGCTGCATCACAGTGACTGACATTCGCTCTGCCTTCTTGACGTGACTCCTGGCATTGTTCTTCAGGATCGTGAGTCCCGATCTTGAAGCACGAGCTATCTCTTGGCCAGGCGTCCCCGCCGGCATGAGTCGGCATGAGCCTTTCTCCGGAACCTCTGAGCTCGTCATCAGGCACCATGTCAAGTGACACATCGATTCCGAGATTCGTTGCAATTTCCTCAATTCGAATCACCTGTGCCGCTTTACCGAGGTCAGATGATAAGTGGAGATATGCTCCGCAGTTGATGCATCCCATCATGCCGAACGTGTACAAGTGTTTGCACCATTGACACTGGCACTCATGCATGATCCGTTGTTCAACAACAGCCCATAGGGTCTTTCCCAGTCCTTCATTGTGAGGGTCAAAGGATCGAGTGTTGAAGCGATGGTAGTTTTAATAATCTTCCATGATCATTGGGCTAAGATGGAGGGGAGCGAGAGCGCAGGCGCATGGGCGGGGCTGGGGCTGGGGAGGGAAGATGGAGGGGAGCGAGACGGGAGGCGCATGGGTGGGGCTGGGGCTGGGGAGGGAAGATGGAGTGGAGCGAGACGGGAGGCACGTGGGTGGGAACGAGGCACGTGGGTGGGGACGAGACTGGGGAGGGAAGATGGAGGGGAGCGAGACGGGAGCTGGCGAGGGAAAATGGAGGGCAGCGAGACGGGGAGGTGAATGGAGCGGCGTTGCGGGGCTGAGATATGGTCTTGGGTGTCCAAAATGTGCAGAATGCACGCGGCAGACATGGTTGCGTTGAGCACATGGTCGCACCACAAGCATCAGTGCAGGCTGCTCTGGGGCAGTGCACAAGTAGAACGAAGCAGGGTAGTGCTGGTCCAGCTTCGCGGAGGGACGTTGGGAGGTGAATGGAGCGGTGTTGCAGGGCTTAGGTATGGTCTTGGGTGTCCAAAATGTGCACAATGCCTGCGACAGGCAATGTTGCGTTGAGCACATGGTCGCATCACAAGCATCATGGTAGGCCGCTCCGGGTCAGTGCACAAGTAGAACGAAGCATGGGTGGGGGTAGCTGGTCCATGCTTCGCGGACGTGTGTTGGGTGGTGAGTGGAGCTGTGCTGCGGGGCTGATACGATGAGGTTGGGTGTCCAAAATGTGCACAGTACATGCGCCAGACAGTCAAGGCATGGCCGACACGGGAGGAGCGTTATGTGCCACAAGCGCAACGTGGGAAATTGTACGGTTGGAACGAACCTTGGAGGGGGCCGATACTGCTCCAGGCTTCCTGGAACGGTTGTCAGAAGCCATGTTGCAATGTTATTGGAGACTAGCTGCAGATTGAAAACAACCAGTTGATATATATATATTATATATATATATACACCTAGAATCCGTTTGACACCTTTTTTGACAGGAAAAGGCCATATTTGGGATAGTTGACCCTCCAAAACAGGGGTCACTCAGGTTCCAGGTATATGATACATCCAAAAGCCAACCCGACGAAAGACGGAACTGATCCGTCGGAGACCGTGCGGCGCAGAGTCGGACGGAGCCCTAGAAGTACGCCAGGCGCTGGGGAGGGAGGATGGAGGGGAGCGAGACGGGAGGCGACGGGGCTGGGGATGGAAGATGGAGGTGCATGGGTGGAGGGGAGCGCGACGGAAGGCGCGTGGGTGGGACGGGAGGCGCGTGGGGTCGAGGCTGGGAGGGAAGATGGAGGGGAGCGTGATATGCTAGTTACGAGGACATGGTTGCACCACAAGCATCATTGCAGGCTGCTCCGGGTCAGTGCACAAGTAGAACGAAGCATGGGTGGGGGTAGTGCTGCTCCATGCTTCGCGGAAGCACGTTGGGAGGTGAGTGGAGCTGCGGGGCTTATACGATGGTCTTGGGTGTCCAAAAAGTGCGCAATGCACGCGACAGACGGTCAAGTCGTGGCTGAAACGGCAGGATTGTTGCGTCGAGCACATGGTTGCACCACCAGCATCATTGCAGGCTGCTCCGGGTCAGTGCACAAGTAGAACGAAGCATGGGTGGGGGTAGTGCTGCTCCATGCTTCGCGGAAGCCCGTTGGGAGGTGAGTGGAGCTGTGTTGCACCAGAACCGCGATGCTTGAAATATCATAGTTACCGCGAAGCCTGGAGGGGGCTGATACTTCGTTTTGGCCTGCTAATTTGTGTTTGTTTATTTTTCCTGGGTTGTGCGCTTCTTTTTGCTTTTGGGTCCGCGGGCTCACGTTGTTTTTTGGCTTTGCCGAATTGCGCGCGCACCTGTTGGTAGGCCTTATCGTATTATTATGAGCAGTTTTTTTCAAACAAAAAGAATTTAGATAATACTATATAATCGATAACTAATGTTTTTACATTATTGGACATTCTTTAAATCATACAATCTTAGTATTATTAATACTATATCCGAATATCGATTTATTGTGTGTTCATTCAGCTAAACCAACCGTATGTGCCGTGAGTTGGACAAACAAAAGCTAATTTTTCCTGTGCTCTTTTCCGATGTGGCAAAAACCCTCAGGAATCCTCATATCTCACATGGAAAACTTGAATCCGTGCTGACGACTACTGTGTACAAATTAAAAACTACACTAATAAATTCTGCTGGCGATCGAGCGAACACCCAAAGTGCCGTTCAACCAACACGGCAGGCACTAGTCCTGCTCTGAAATGCTCTGAACACTTGAAGTCGGTGAGACGCAACAAAGAAGAGTATACCCAAGTGGGTCAATGCACCAAGGGCAAAGCAGCAGCAGCTGTAGCTGCTGTGGCCAAAGCTGCCGCAAAATCGACTGCGGTTTCTTTGTCCTGAACCCAGACAGAACTTTTCAAGCGGTCAAGCCCAACATGCTGACAACGCCAGGCTTTGCCAAGCATCCTTCGTTGTCTTTCTAAAGAACGCCGAGAGCTTGTTTCTGGTAGTTCGGAGAAACGCATAGGCTAGCCTGATGCAAAATGCACAATTGTACCACCGTGGACAGTGCCTCTTGTCTGCAACCGCCAGTGCGCAGCTTCATATTATATACTTGGATTGGTCTCAAGTCTAGTTGGTGTGTTCTTGCAACTCAGAAGCCACTCTCTCTGTGGCACTGCGTCCTCATCAGTAACGATATTCACTCCTCGGCTCTTTGCCCAAAGGATTAGCTAGAAAGACTCAAGTTTGCAAATCCAGTTTGTTGCGTCTTTGGTGTCAATGCAGGTGAAGGGCGGTCACCATTCTGCAATTCATAGAATGGCGCCACCTCGGTCTAATTTGTTTCTTGGAGTGTTAGGCAAAAGCGGCATGAATACCAAATCTGATTTGCAAAGCCTATCCACATAAAAAAAGGCAGCTTTATGAATGTGTGAAAGGATTCCTGAAAGCAGCATGAGTCATGAGGCCTTCTTATCATTGATCACGGGATACAGCATGTGGAGCCCGACCTTTACAAGTTCAACAAGCACAGTGTAACATAGTTAAACTGAAGCCGCAACCGAAACGCAGCCTCTGAGTGAATCTTGAAGGCCGCATCCAAAGCTGTACAGCCGCCTCAGCATCAGAATGCGTACAAACACATTAAAAAGCAGCAGCCCCAGAATCTGGGAAGCAACAAAGAATCACCTGTGCTCAAGTTCAGCTTGGATTCGGGAGAGGTTCAAGATCGTGCCGTCTCTCAAAAAGACAAAGCACCTCTCAAGGCGCATCTGGTGAAATCCAAAGAAACCTGGGGTTGCTAGTGAGACCCTGCCTTTTGCCCAATTCATCTCGTAGAACCTTGGAGACGCGATGGAATGTGCTTACTGGACATTGTAGGCTGTAGCAGCACGACTGAGAGGCCTAGCACTTGCGCCGTAACCCTCCCAAACTTTCAAGCAAGAAATTGGCAACACCTGCCTTGTATGTTGTACTTTTCTTATGTGATAACTCTGCTTATACTGCACGTTTAGCAGATCTTTTATGATCCTTGGAACTCCCGAGCAGTCCATGCCACGCCTCTTGAACGAATGCTTGGGGGTCGGCCCTCATTTCCCAGTCCTGGGAACGAGACTGACTCCATGAGGAGCCCCTAGTAGCGTTCTTGCTCCTGGTGGTAAGGGCAGGAGCCGCTAGTAGTCTATTTTCGGATAAATCCTGGTATCTGCTTGCCATATGTTGCTGCATGTTGCTGCTGTGCGGGCGAGCATCTTTGTCTGCCAACGATTCCAACCACGCAACTCTACGGCTTGGTTTCTTGGGCCTAAGTATGCAGCGCTTCCCACACCAACCACAGCGTAACTTCTCTTTGCTAGCATGGCAGCAAGGCACCACATCAAAGAATGGAAGACTGGAAGATCTTTCTCTGATTGCCAACCGCTGGGCTCCAAGACTTATATGGCTTGCCCCGTTGCTCATCCTTGTAAATCCAATGAGCGGCCATTCCATACCTGAAATCCATCAACACTGCTCTATCTGTCTTACGCGCGTTGATCCGAGGCCCAGTCTCTGCAACTTCGTGCATGCGCATTGTGCGGATCTGGATCTCCAAAGGAACTGGAGCATCGTCATGAACAAAGGTGACGTGCAAGGACTGGTAACCTAGCGGCAATCTTTGCCCTGCAGCCAAGTGCTGCAACGTGCATGGACAACTGCCGTCAGAGTGCCATTTGGCTTCGGAAAGGCGATGTAGTTCTTCAGCATCTCCCCTCCTGAGCTGCATTGGCAATGCTTTATCGGCTTCCCCTTAATTAAACTAAAGGTGGCAAACAGGTTTGCAATGTGTGTCCACCACACTCACTTAAAGCTTGTGGCCACGCTTCCAGACCAGTTTGGCAACTGTCGTGCCAAGGCCAGCGCGTGGTTGCACAATCGGGCACCACGCGCCGCATACTCGTCATTGCTTTCACCAGGATTCTGGTCAAAGTCCAGGACGATACGAAGAGCAATGATATCATCAATGTTGTCCTCAGTGAAGTTCCCATACTTAGGCCATCTGATGCTTGCCCTGCCCGGGGCTATCGTGTTAAATAATACGGGTTCAAGCTGCTATGTTGTTGTGATATTTTGGCTTTCTGCGCATCTTCTCCCACAGTGAGTACAGGCCCTTCCTTAGTTCCCAATTAAACATAGTTTCATATATATACACTAGTATCCTATTCGGTGTGCACAGCAGTTTCTGGCTCGACTCTCATGCAAGCAAGGGACTCCCTTGCGGTGATCTCTATCCGAACGTTTTGCTTTTTGAAGACCGGATCCTGCCTGTTGTAGGGTCGAGCCTTTCTCATCTCTGTTCAAATCCAACTGACCCTGCCTGAGGATGGAAAAGTCCCGGGTCGCTGCTTGAAGCGTGGATGTGTGCCTTGGGATGAGAAGACATGCCTCCAACACTGCTCTCTGTTGGCACAGCTGACGCAAAGCCAAAATGAGGAGCGTACTGTGCGTGTCTCATGCTCAGAAGCCGGTTGAGCTTCCGAAACTCCTCGAATTCACGTTCCAAATTTCCACCCCAGACACCCCCTTCAGGGATCAAGCTAAGCCAGGCCGCCAGTGGATACAAATATCGAAATGACCTTGGCTCACTGTCCTGGCTCCCCAAAGGCCCCAGCTGCTTGACAAAGAAAGGTCGGGCTGATCGTTGGCTGATCATTGTTGGTCCGGGCTTACGACAAATCCTCCAGCTCTGTCTTGAATAGCCAAACGCCAAGGCGGTGAGCCAGCTGAGCAAACACGACCTTGGCAAGTCAAGATTGCCTGATGGCTGGATGCTTGAATGAAGCCTGAAGACCCGATGGCCTGATTCAATTCGCAAACACCACAGTCTGATTTATCATCAAGCTTCAAGTGTTTCTGCCGCAATGGTCTGCTGCTTCTTCTCCGGCCTCAGGTTCGATATCATACCCCGAGCCAGCTTTTGAGGCGTGTTTGCTGGCAACCACTCTCGACGTCGTCAAGTGTGACCAGTTCTCTTATGATTGTCACCATTGTCACCTTGAAAAATCAAGTGATAAGTGATGACAATGATAAGTGATAATTGAAGACGATACTGTCAGGGCTTCATAGGAATTCCCTTGCACAACCAAGTCACATGTGCTCCAGTGTGCGCATGTTGTGCAGTCGATCCTCAGTCTTACACATGCAACAAGCCTCAACCTCATTTTGTCCCTTGAAAACATTCAATTTTTTCTTTTAGTCCTGAGCCTCCTTCTGCCAGTTTCACCAAGATCACTCTGTAATCATCAGCCATAGCCAGGAACATGTCCTTAGCATGATAAGCTGAAGATCCTCCGCTCTTCACCTGCTTTGCATCCATTTTCTTAGCTTTCGGCCCGCAAATTCTCCGCCTGCTCACGCGCCTTGCACATGTCAGGCTTCAGAGAAGACGGCGACTTGTTTCCTAGGAGCTTGTTGAACCTTAGCAAGCAATACTGAAACGCTGCAAGTGTGCAATTGCTCTTTCTGCTTCCGTAGTCCAGCAACAAAGAAGTGTAGCGGCGGCTCCAATTGCCTCGCCCACCCAATGCTGTGCGCTTGGAAGCTTTCGTCTCACCCTCAACAATACCTGAATCGTGGCACTGGACACCCTGCAACCTGCTGAGTAAAGCAGCGGAGCCGCATAGCTATGGCGGCCAAAGTGCGTCTCACATCCACGCCGAAAATGCTCTCCAAGTCTTCAAAGCGAATTTCGTCGTTGTCCTCCACGGTATCATGAAGCCTAGTGCAGTCGAGCCAATGGCACCGGTGCATTCCAAGTCGGTCTTGTTTCCTTCAACTAGAGGTAAGCTCTTTGTCTCTTTGTTGCAGCTTGGAAGCAAGCCGCTAACAATAACTTCCACCGGCACCTGAACGTGCTGATCCCCGAAGCTAAGCAAAACCAAGCCGAAAGGCTCACAATCCGAGTAAATCTGCGGCAATGCCAAGCCTTCAGCTGTGCTAAAAGCTCAGCCACTGCCACAGGGTGGACAATGTACGGCTCTCCAGACTTTCTTTTCTGCCCTTTGTGCGCGAGCCTCAGGCTTCTCAAAGTACTTGTGCTTAATGCAAAATGGTATCGGCAAACTATTGCAGTAAGGACCTATAAACTTGCCAACGTAAGGACATGCCGACAAGGAACGCCGCAACACAAAGCCCGGAAAGAGCCTGTAAGCGGTCATCACGAGGCCTGTGATGGCACGCGGGGAGTGTGAACTGCTCCAAAACATTCAGTTTGCACGAACTCTCCTTCTCTCCCTCCCTCCCTTCCTCTCTCTCTCTCTGTGTCTATGTCCTCCTTTAATTATTGAAGTTTGAAGCGATGCAAAGGAATTGGCTTCTTCATAGCAATCTCGTTGTTTTTCAGCTTTCACCATATTGGCTGGAGTTGAAACAAACAATTGTGTTGTTCAAATTTGCGATGATCTGCACGTCAGGCTACCTTGGCAACTGTGGGATCCCCAAAAAATAACCCCAAATGGAGAAGCTGATGCGCCCAACAAAAACAAAAGGCTGGATGGTTTTTAGACCCCTCTTGATGACTTCCGAGCAGCAAATACATCAACTTTGGCTCCAAATCTTGCCATAGGTCTTCGACCTTGGCCAGGCACACATCATGCTTTGGAGCTGAGCTGATCTCACAAGTGCGGAGAAAGAGCCTGTTGCCTAAGCTGTCCATCTGGATCATCCTGCCATGGTCAAATGCACTTGCACCAGTCGTGCGCACCACTGCCACTCAACATCCTGAGCCGTTTCATTGAGTGTTGGGGAATGGCCTCAGCAAAGGGGGTGCCTTGGGCTGCAAGCTTCCAGCGTGACACATCTCTACTCAGCGCCGTGTCTCGCTGAACAAGTTGGGCTCGTATGCGAGCCTGCAGGCCGTCACCAACCCGCACGTGCTCAAGCATAACCCTCTCATTCATGTTCTCTCTCAGGTCTCAATAAGGGATGAAACTTCCGCAAAGCTAGCCGGCTTGGCCTTGCGATGCCTCCGATCTCCCAGCCAGCTGAGAAGTTGCGATCCAGGCCAGGCCAAACCTGAAGCACACCCTCCTCACACCCTTGTATCAATGTGGTCGTCTGTCATGGACTGAATTTGCGTCTACCTTCTTTCTAACATAATGCATGTGGATAAAGAGTTGTCCCAAGCATCTCTGTTCAACTCTGCAGCACAATGTGGTCAGGAAAAAGGTTAACAAAAAGAACATTATATAATACATGTTCTTCTTCTTCTTCTTCTTTGTTACCTCTCCTTATGCTCGTCCACGCGCGCGCAGCATAGGCGCGCCGAAGGTAACGATCCCCTCCTAACTGGACAGGCACACCCCAACCCGCGGAAAGGGCCCAAGTAAGCTGTTTCTCACCTTTTTTGATTGCTATTTTGACACTCTCCTCGATCGTTTTCTTAGGTTTCGTTTTTTTGGAAGGATTCTTATTGATTCCTTTTGTCTTCCCTTTCCACGCTGCAATCCCCTATGCTGGCCCGCACACGCAGCATAGGGGCCACACTGGACCCCAACTCGCGAAAAGGACCCAAGGAATCGTTTCTCACCTTTTTGCAGAGCTGCAAGAGGTTTTCATGCTCTTTTTGACCGTCTTTTTGAGATTTCCTTCCAGGTGCCCCAAGACTGGCCCAAGACGTTGTTTACGACCAGCCGGCCTGCTGCTTGGCAGCGGCTCAATGGTTGTGAATTGGTAAAAATGGTTGAATTCTGGAAATTAGGAGGTATGGTTCAAGGACTTGGTCAACAAAAAGCTAAATGCATGTCAGCTAGAGTGGTCCAGCTTTGTTCAAATACGTTCTAGCATTCTAGCAGTTTGCTATGACTCGGTCTAGGCTGCTGTGCTGGACAAGCCGCCAAGAAGCACCCCCCCAACGAAGTGAGGCAGCGACCATGCCAGTGACGTGAAGAGTTTTTGTTGTGCAGTGGCCAACGCCCACCGGTGGCATAAGAACCTAAAGGCTGTGTCACGCCTAAGGGAAACACTCTCAACCACACCTGCTCCCCTCCAACTGAAGCGGGTGACGAGGTAATCAAGCCTGTAGAGATGGGTTTCCTTCTGAAGTTAACCTTTTGCAGGATGACACCAGGCCAAAGTTTTTCACCCAGACCACGAAATCTCAACAGCTGACCCAACAGCCAGGTACTGAGCATGCCTTCCGGAATCTTCACATTAGTTGTTGCATGTTGTTGCACTGGATGCTCCTTCTCGTGTACAGGGCCTTCTCCTTCTTGCTTCCCGTGCTCCGGTCTCCTCATCTTCGCCATTGCTCCGCGTTTTGCTTTCCCTTTCCTTTCTCGCTGTCGCGCTCTCGCCACTCACGCCCTTGAAGGACGTGCTTGTATTCCTTCCGGGGTGCCAGTGGCAGCGGCGGTGGATACGAGGGGGACAGTGGCTTTTCAGCCGATGGTTTGGCGGCCCTCCGCAGCTGCAATCTCTCGGCCAGTCGAGAAGGTGTGCAAGAAATTTGAGGACAAGTTTCTTCGACAAGTTCACGCGACCGGAGCTCCCAAGGAGGGACCTCTCTCTTTTCGGGTGCTTAGTGCATCTCAGTGCTGAGTCTGCCAAGGGCGGGGGGGCTGACAAGGAGAGGACAGGAAGAACTCGAAGACTGGAGTTCACACCTAACAGCAGTCAAGAAGGAAAACAAGGGACTCAAAGAACAAGGGACCTTTTTGGCAGCCGAAATTGAACAAGGAAAGGGAGACCAGGAAGCGCAGGAGGAGTGCCAGGCCTGAACCGGACAACGAGGAGCAAAGGGAGTTTGAAATGGAGTCAGAGGATAAGAGGCCGACACCGGACAAGAGCACTGGAACATACTGGAACCACTGATTGGGGAGTGTCACCTGTCCGCGCGAGTTGAAACCAGTCAAACCAACCGACTAAACTCATAACAGGGATAGCAGGCACAACCGGCTATATTGCACAAGCTGCAACTCATGAATGGAGATACATATTATGATATACTTCACGAGGGCGAAAGTTTGGTAATACTTTCTCTGACTCTGGACTTGTAGGTCATGTTTTCATAGGTGCGTTTCCAACTTTTGTCCGAGTCCTGTCTGTGTTTTCTATTTGCTTCCATCTTCGGTTTCTTTAATTTTCTTGACCTGTTTCATGCCAGGAAGCCACCTCACTGTTAGTTGATGTTTTCATTTCTATTTGGAGTTTTCATTCCTGTTTGTGGAGTGAGGGATTGGATGGTGATTGGATGGTCAGAAAGGGGATGGGGGGATGTAGTTTTTTCTTAGTAAAATAGGACCTCTTGCAAAAGAGGAATGCGCCGAAAGGTGCTAAATGCAGGTCATCATCATTAAGATTTAGAGTAGCCTAACTTAATAAACATAGAGCCTCTTGAAAAAGAGGAATGCGCTGCAAAGTGCACACTAGAGTCACTAGAGTCTAGTTTCCAGCTTTGGCACACTGAACACTAGGATTTGGTTATTATCCACCCTAGCCTGGCACAAAGATATGGGTTGATGGTGGCCCCTGAGGATTTCCTATAGTTCCAGCCTGGCATAACCTGGCATGAAGCATGGGTTGATGGCCCCCACAGCCCCAATAAGCTGAAGCACAATTCACGTTGATTATCTTTTTTTGGACCAATTGCAGAGTGTTGCCCACAATGATCCATCCTGGCGTGACCCCTTGACAAGCCAAAGTTTGCCCATCTGGGTCGAGTAATTCCAGGAGTGAGTCACTTTGCTTACTTTTCTTTTGTTCACCAGCTTCTGGAATTCCAGAAACTTTTGCTAACGCTTGGAACTCCAGCGTTGACTTGATGGCCCCTAGCTGACATTTGCCCTCCATCACTACTATACATCGTAGCAATGGAAAATGTCTCCAGCAGCTTGTCAATCAGATGTCTTTCCAGCCTGGCATGCATCATTTTTCATGGAAGAACTGCAGGCATAAGTTACAATAACTACAGCTGCTACCAATCAAACAACAAACACACTTACACATCAGGGCCAGCCTTGGCACCTCAGAAATCAAGACTCCAAGCAACCCAGCTGCTTCTACAACATTTGGGAACTATTGCAATGTGTGAGAACTGCAACTGCTTTCATGCTGACACAATCAGCAGCCCTTTTTTACACAGGATGCCGAGGCAAGTTGCAGGATTCACCTGACACAGCGCCAACAACACAAATAAACAAACATCTAACAACACAAGTTAACAGAAAAAACAAAAATCACCATGCCTTCCCTTGCTGGATGAAGGTCGCGCATCTCCATCATCTTCAGCACTGCGCTTCCTGACAGCAAAGTCCTAGCTAAATCCCAGAACAACAACAACAACAAGAACAGCAACAGTAATGCAACCGCCCAACACAACATGCCTCTTCTTCTTTTTCTGTTTCTCAGACTTCTGAGATGCCACTGGAGGTTGCTTCCTGGCAGTTACTGTACTTGCTTTGGCTACAGGAGGTTGGGTTTGACTACATCAAAAAGCAACTTGGCCCCAGGACCTGGAAGAGGATGCACCACCCTCGCTTGCAAAGAATGCATCCATCCAGATTTCAGATTCCTGACAAACACAGTGCATACAAATCAGAAATTGAAACAAACTGGAGTTGCTCACCCTGCCTGCGTTTGCTTGCGAAGTTCTTCCTTTAGCTTCTCCTTGGCCTTTGACTCAGTGTCTACCTGGCCCACCTTGATCGCAAGCTCCTTGGCAGTTTCCTTATACTGCCACTGAACCCTCTGTGAAAATTTCTGCAGATCTTCTGCACTTTGCTTCATCTCTATCATCTTCCAGTAGGAATCCTTTGCTCGTTCTTTTACCTTTTTCTCTGCGTCTCTTGCCCAGTTCAATTGCTCATTGAACCGCCACTCAGCCCTCTGCAGAGCTTGATTTGCATCTTCTGCCACTTGCTCAGACTCTCTCATCTTCCAGTAGGAAGCGTTTGCCTGCTCCTTGGCCCACATCTCTTGATCCTTGGCCCACTGCGCTGCAGCTTTTGCAGCTTCCAACTCCTCACTGTTCTGTGAGACGTTTTGACTGGCCAGTGAAAACTGCCTCTTCTCTTCTTCTAACTTCTCTCGTTCTTCTTTGATCTTTTGCAAAGAGGCTCGTCTGGCCTTGCGATTGTCGTTAGATGGACCAGGCTTCGGCATCTTCACACCCAGCAACAAATTTACTGTTGCTGTTCTTGTAGCAATCTGATTGAAACACTTCAGCCCCCTGAGTTGAGCCAACACCAACCCCACAATGCACAAACAGCAAGTATACGATGACTACTCACTGAACCTCTGTACACACAATGAACAATGTAACTTTTGGGAACATGGCAAACTCTTTTTCTCAACTGAACTCACTCAGCTAGCTAGACCCAGCAGTGGTTGCTCTTCTGCATCTTCTGCCTTGCCACAAGCTTTCATCCAAGTCCCAACCAAGTCATTAAACAAGAGCTCACATCAAGCAATCAGCATGAAACGATGCACTTTGTGACAGCAAGTTTCAGCCAAAAGTTGAGACACACACCATGCAATCAAATGCCAAGGAACATCCGGATCATCATCCATGGGCAATGCCTCGCCCCCATCATGCCACACATGGATTGGCCTGGGTTCTCGGTCCTCCACAGAGTGCCCTTGCCCAACTGGCAAAGGAGTTTGCTCATCAAACCTCAGTGGAATAGAACGCTGTTTGAGTGAGTCTGCACATGGGCTCAAGCAAATTGAGTACAATATAACATTAGCAACATGGGCCAGGCCTGTTCTCCAAGAAGTTGTAGTAAGACGGCCTGGGCGCACGTCGCAGGGTACTTGTTGCCCACCCAACCAAGAAGTCACGCCCAGCTTCCTCAATCAAAGCAAAGTCACACAGCCAAGTGGTCCAAGGACCATAAGGACACAGTCACACTTACTAGATGCCGAAGGAAAACTATGATCTCAGCAA